AGACGTAAGCAATAGAAGGGATAGGAGCAAAAAAACCGAGGTAGAGAGCAAATAGCTATTGAATGACATTGAATGTCATGTCACCATGGAAACCATAAGTGTTAATCTGACACTAAACAATAAATTACCATTATGTTACTTTATGCGAAATGTGTGCTCCCGACCAAACTAACAATGATATGTTCTCTTCTACATCAGTAGTAGTTATAATCACTTCATAGCAAAATATTTTACTGAAATATTTTTGTAACTTCCTGAAAACAACTTTGATCAAGGCTGAAATAAAAGCCACTTATACCAATACTGTTATACCTGAAAACACAATTTTGCTTGTTGCCTTGGTTACACATAACTATGTACACGTTGCTATCGGAAACCTTGGGACTTTCTGGTTGGGTTTAGCCAAAATCATCCAGAATACTGAAAGAAATTATATTATTCCTAAATTAAGTTCAGAAAATAACCCTCATTTGGGGCTGAAATACGTAGACTTTCATGATCTTGGGTATCTTGTTCTGTTTAATTCTTGTGGCACTTTATTACCCTCATGGACACTATTTTTGCCGACATTTTTAAAAACCATAATTGGACATTTGGAAGCATGACATTTTCTCAGTAATTTATCTGATTCTTCGACAAGATCAACAGTAGAATCAGAAACTATATCATGTTGATATAATACCATTTAAATCCCCATGTTTAGGCTCTTGACTCCATATAATCTGGATATAGTTGTAATCTTACTGGTCGACATAAATCTTCAATTTCCTGCATTTTCTAAGGGGCTCATCGGAAGGATTACACACAAAACTAGACTGATTTTATGACATTACTAATATTCTCTTACACAACCAATGCACTCACATGACTACATATTCCATCATTTCCTAATGTACTTTTAGTGTAGCTTTTGCTTATTGCTTGTTTTCGTCTTTGTTGTGGTTGTTGTTTTCAATTGTGTATTGTCATGTCTACAACTTGTTAGGCTGTCCTCCATTCCAAATTTTTGAATTATATGTCAAAACAATAAAAGAAAAATAAGTTACAACAAAACAGAAAGATGTTTAGTTATATTGCATATACAGAATGTTTCTAAAGTCTTGTTTTTTCTTTGTTTGGCAGCACAGAACATGCAACTAGCTTTTCAATCAGAAATGTTAGCTGAGGACAAAGCAGCTCCAAAGCCATCTTCTGAAAACCACAAATCTCTGGTTTCTCAGAAATCATCCTTTTCTCACAACAAATACATTTGTTTTCAATTGGCCTCCCACTCACCAATCCTTTGTGCTTGTACCTTGACCTTTTGTTACATCAAGATTTAATTTTCTTTCTGCACCTAGAGATAAGCTACTTCAGCCAACTGTCACAAGAAGACAAGGCCAAAAAGATGAAAACAAAAACTCTGTGATTACTGAAACAGGAAGTAATCCATAAATCACGTGTGTTTTGAAAAAAAGGGTATAACAGTTTTCTCCCATCAGCCATATCACAGAAGAATGTGTCAGATTTCTTAAATATGGGTTACTCTTTTTTTTAACATCTGTGTAAATAACATCTGTGCAAAAATATGTCTTACTTGCTTGTACAGTTGTCTCAAATATGCTTATAATTTTCCAACAAATTAACCATTAATCATCACTATAATGATAACTGTGTGCACAAAATTAAATCATTTTAATGGAAGGTGCTGGCAGCTTGTCACGTCTGGATTTTGTTGTTAAGTAGCATGAGGACAGCTCTTGAATTGAGATTGTTGCTATTTTCTTGCACAACTGCCTTTACAAAACTGAACAATTGTGAGCAAACTGGGACAGTCTTTTTGCAACTTAAACTGTGTCCTTGGAACACAAATTTCATAGTCAGAGACAGCATTTAAGAAAATGTTTAAGAAAAAACTAATGGACCGGGTACTTGACTAAAAGGTATATGTTTTTTTTTTATCATTTCAAACACACAACAGCTGTCAGTGCAATCACTGATGTGATGGTTCCTGCACATCTGTGACTGTGCTACATTTACAGCCGCCTGAAGTGGGGCTGCAGATGTTGGCTTTGGATTCTAGTTTAATTTTCGATCATCTGTCGCCCCCTTGTGTCCATAGACGCTCACTGCCAGTAAAATGTTGCCTGTTAAATTACATTAAAAAAACGCTTTATTTAAATAGATGCACATATTGTTGGGAGTTTCAGATATTGCGTAGATAATCTTAATTTCAAACCCATTGTAGGCTCTGACAAACCTCACAGTGTCTTTCCAAAACACACTTAAAATTAATCATAGATGGTCTCTTTAGTCTATTTTTTTTTTCTCTCAAAATGTCTAATCAAGAAACACGAGTGGAGGAAGGTGTATTTCTTATAAAATTATATTATAGGTCAGTATAAACCAGCATCTTCATTCCCAAACCACATGACAGAGATATGTACTTTTTTAAAATGATTCTATAATTTATGTTTTATAGCCGTTACAATGCTTCTTCGGGCCACATAAGGTTAACTCCCTTATCTGGCATTCTCCTAAAATACTTACAGGAAATGGACTTATCTGACAAAATGGTGCATAAAAGCAGACATTAAATTTTGATTTTCAAAATGTTAAAAAAGAGAAATATTTTAATGTAAAATACTATTTTTAGATGGGTTTGAGAGCCATTCAGGAGATGAACGTACTAACAAAAATTCAGATGTCATTTGTAAATTATTTGAAGCCACAAATCACAGCTAATCAACTGAGGTCACATGTAATTAATTGGCCACTTAGGTCTGTCTTTTTATTCCCACTGAAGTTTATGAGGGTGCATGGCCTCTTTGTTAAGGAAAACCAAAATGGATACATAGTTTAAATATATATACTCAAATTATCTCTTTATTCATTCTATATAGGTTTACATGACTATGTCAGTGATAGGACCACACAATGGAGATAAACAGTTGTAAATTACTTAGAAGAGGTGGGAGAAAACTTTGCAGATTTTAATAAAAAATAAAATCTCATAAGTACAACCAAAACTGGTAAATGAGACTGTGTGTGCCAGATTGACGTCTTTCACTTGCTATTGATGTTTTATTCTGTACAGAGGGACAATTTGTACAAAATTAATCTAGATATATAACACTACATGAAACAAGGTAAATCATATATACAATATTAAATGACTCATATAGTACAGGTCACATACAAAAGGACACTTTAAGTTAACATGTTGCGGAAATAATGTGTTAAAATTAAGAGACCTGCGGAATATTAACAAGTCACCAAATTATCTTTTAAATCATCTTTTGTCGTCATGGATGACTTGTTTTTCAGCACTAAGTGAAACCTTAAACAACTTGGATTCATAAAATTAAATACAACATCTCTCCTGGACAGTTTCGGAAATGCAATGACTGTGACAACAGAAATCAGTTTGGTGAATGGCATTCCTCCAGGGTAAAAGGTACATGTTTAACATGGTAGTTTTACTTACATCTTTTTGCATTCAAGCAAATACAGTATTAATACAGTTAACAAGCCAAGTCACAATGTCAGTTTATTTTCAGCATCTGGCATTTTTGTGGCTGTTTCATACCAGTCTTTTTCACTACTGGGCTTTTCCAAAGAGCCAGAAGAAAGAAAATAAAAATAAATCCAAAATGTGACATCCACACTAACCTCCAGAGACAATACAAAGAAATACATCACGTCATTTGAAGAAAACATAGCAGCGCGCCATGGTTTAAACAATGGTACTGACTGGGAAAATTTCAAACTTTATAAAAAACAAAAAGGAAGAAAGCATCCTCAGAGAGGAACAATTTCTAAAATTCACATACCAAGCAAACTGAGATTGATGGTACTGAAATCTTTTTTTAAAACGAGCTGAACGCGAATATTTAGTAAAATCATTTTTGGGGGTAGTGCTTCAGGACAATTTGCCGATCACTTAATGACAATCTGTACAGATACTGCACAAACAAGCTGCTGACATTGATCATTTTCCTGTGTATTTTATGCTCAACGGGATCTTCATAGAATAGGATATCAAACTGTCCATTAACGCTTGGATAAGACCAATGAGTGATGGCCTCTAAGGTGATGCTGCCCAATAGGGAAAAACTTTTTTTTTCCATTCTAACATAGATCTGTACCACACAGAAAACAAAACTAAGGATTCCTCTTTACTTCAGTGAGTTGTTCTCCATCTTTCTATCGGCTGACAGAGGCCAGATCAAAGCTCAGGAAGTGACTGCAACACGTGCAGCAAACTCGCTGGCAGCATTCCCTCAGGTGCATCTCAGGCTGCTGAACTCAGAAAGTACCACTGTTTGAACCGCCCTGGCATTGCTGTGGTCTGGTCTTCAAATATTGCCAGGGAACAGAAGGAAGCAAGAATAGAAAAGAGCAGCATATGGCACAAAACAAAAACAAAACAAAAAAAACAATAAGCAGGGGAGTGTCGAGGTAACTACAGGACAGCTTCCCCTCTCCTCGCCACCTTCCCTGGACGTTACAAGGCTAAGAACAGGCCCCAGTGTGGTCTGAAGTGTGCTGAAAACCAGAACACCCACCCAAAGCAAAGGCAGGTGTCCCTCCTCGAGTAACAGACTGAATCGTGAACTGAACAGAAAAAGTACACAACAGTCTTGGCACAGACAAGATGTTTGTTTGAGCAAATAAAGAAACCAGTCACACGAAAGTCTTTTCTTTCATCTGAACAATAAGCTCTGCTTTCATTCCCTTCAAAAGAGGAGAAAAACAGAGGCGAGACTACGAGACGATCCTTAGACAGTGAGTCGAGCAGTTCCTCTTTCCATTTCCAGTCTGTTGTGAACATGCTTGTAAGAATGAATGGAGAACCTGTTTTGTGCTGTCTGTACTCCAAAGTTCCTCATTTACAGTGAGCGCGCAAGGGTTGAAGGAGGGGAGCGAAAGGACGAGACAAATTATGAAAAACTACATTGTATGCCACAGAGGCTAAAACACACACAGATATACTCCCACTTGTCAAACAAAAAAAAAAGAAAGAAAAAAAACCTGAGAAAGTAGAAACTGTGGGTGATGGACACGGGGTGTCTGCACTGGGCAGCAGGAATGGTTTAGAAAGAAGGATTCTGAGGAAAGGTGGTGATGGGCAGACGGATGGAAAGCCCAGCACGGTTCACCAGCAGAATTCTGGCATCTGGGCGCAGATGTCCATGGCTGTAGAGGGCAGGAGGAAGATGGTGGGGCCTAGAGTCCATCATGGGGGGGTCAACATTTCTTCAGCTCTGCGGTGGGACTCCAAGGCTTTTGTGGTGTAGATATCCTGAGGCAGTTCGGACTTGCGTCGCACCATCGGCCGTTCTTTTCGCTGTTCGTGCTGCAGCTGCGAGATGGAAACAGGAGAGTCCGTCATAATCGGGGCTTCGCCTCAGCTTCTGACACAGCCTTCCTGTTCTGGCTGTGCTTTTCTGATCAGCTGTGGAAACCCTGGGGTTGAACACGGTGCATTCATCATGCGGCAAGCTGATAAAAACATGTTTATTTATGCCAATTCCTAAACTGAAGGGCCCCAAAGATAGCATTAATTCGGGAGGTTAAAGTAACATATAACAGAGTTGAGGGGCACAGATATGTTTCTGCTTAGTTTCAGGTTAATTCCTAAATACATACAACTTAACTGAGTGGATAACTGTGTCAATACTCCACATTTCTTCACCCAACTCCTGAAACTGAGGCTACAGGCAACTAAGAAAACATGCAAAGGGAGCTCTAAAAGGAAATAGAAAGCTCTGGATTCCAGAGTTTAACCCACAAGTAGGTTATTTACACGGCATGACTGGTAATGGAGATAACATTTTGAAAGATATATTACATTCTTAACAACTCGTTGATAGAATAGATTTATATATGTGGCAACAGGCCGAGTGCCAGACTCATTATCAATCAAGTCACAGAGCAACAATGAGAGGAAATGGAGACAGAGAGAAAGTCAGGTTTACCTGAGTTGCGCCCTCCTCAACTGTCTTTTTTAACCTCTGAACATCTTCTATCAAAGGGACATCCGTCTCCATAGCTACAGGACTATTGAGGTCAGAGGAATCAACATAAATAGAGAACTATGTTGAAAGAAAGGGAAACAAACAAACAAAAAAAAGGAATGGAGAAAAGACCTTCAGTCGCATGCAAGAAGAAGAAAAAAAGGAATAAAAAAATGTCTGATTTATTCGCTATTGAGGGGTGGGAACTGTTCTAGCAAGTACATCTAGTTCTTGGAGGGGTGTAGGGTGTTTTTAAAAAATCCCAGTTCATCCTTTAAATAATTATCTCTACAGCCTACTGAACAAACAGACTGGCAGGCTACCCATCTTTCCTATTCATGCTAAGCTAACAGCTCCCGGCTTTTCTAAAGCTAAGAGTGTATCGCCATCCATCTTCACATCGGACCCTCCATTAGCAACTGACACTGTCACCTTAGTCATGATGAAGAAAAGTTCAATCCAGAGTGTAAACATGCTGTCTCAGCTAAACTGGAGGTTTTAGCCAAATGGATTTGAACAGTAAAAAAAAAAGGTCTGAACTTGAACTGAAACAATGAAACAACAATGAACAATTAACTAAAATTACTTAAACCACGTCTTTCTATCTATAATCCTTCACAATCACTCCAAAATAGGATGAAACACAAAGAAGAAACTTTCCTTCATTCTTATCTGAACATTTTCTCATGTTGAATAATAAATTACAACGATCCGTTTCCCTTTGGAGTGAATGAAACACACTAGGCAGAACAGGCCAGCCTGTAAAGCTCTTCGGTTGCGTTGGCTGCGTGTCCAGAGTGCAGCTGGATGATGAGGAGTCTTTGATCCGAGAGCATAAATAAACTACACTTTCTCCGCCTGCATCCCGTTTCCTCTGCCAGCAGTGGCCGATGCAAAAGCTGACTTGTTGTGTCTCACACTTTTTCTTTTCCTTTTTTTTGTCCAAACAAACAATCATGTCTCAACTCTACCACCTCTGAGACTGCAGGTGCTCATGAAGTACGTTGGTGGCCAAATGTCCAATTACTTACCAGTCCTTAAACTTAAATATGACTAAACAAATGTATCAGATAAATGTTTTTTATCCATTTTGATTCTGCACTCTAATGCTATGAAGATACATTTCAATTTCTGACTACCAGTTGTTCAAATACCTGTGGTTTACAGAAAGTAACAAACACAGTGGAGGACAGGGGAGCACAAACGTGAATGAATGACTGAAAAAGTCTGCTCACCTGTGGATTCGATTTTGCAAGGTTCTCGATCTTGATCCAAGCCTCTTCACGTTCTTTTGACTTGGCCTTCTCTCTGTTTGAAAGAGCACCACAGCTCCTGTCAGATAACTCTGACTAAAGAGACGTCCGGCACAACAACCCGGCACTGGCGCGTCATTTACAAAGACAGAACCACAGAATTTGGAGTGTACTTGTTTTTTTCAGCCCGAAACTGCTGTGTGCAGTCGTCAAAGAGCTTCTGGTTCATCTCCATGAAAAGCTTCAGGGCGTTGTAGATGAGGCCGTGGATGGTCCTGTGAGCACACACAGGCACAGGTTGGCGAGTTAAATCTTTGCGAGTACAAGCACAGTTGTAGTAAAAATACTTTTTTCTCTTTTGGAGCAGAAAAAAAAAAAACCCAGCAGTGATCCAGTGTCCCGCCTACTAATTATAGTTCAGTATGTGAACTATTTTGCCATTCATCGTCACACCGCTGTGGAGCGCTGAGCCTTTCCAGACTGCTCCAGCTTATGTTGACCTGCTAAAACTGAGACGCTTACTTGTTCCAGTGCGTCTTTGAGTTGCGGTACAGGGCGGGAAACATGATGGGCAGAATCTTTGCTGCGTTGTCGCTGATCAGACTCATGATGTACTCGTTGTTCCAGTAGTACAGAGCCCTCTCTGCCACCTAAAGACGAAAAAGAGCATTGTACTCAGTTGGGCATGGATGGAGAGAAAGGTGGGCGTACAATCAGTCTCAGTCCTCCGTGCGCTTTTTGATGACGTCATGCGGAAAATGGACGCAAACGGTGGAATTGGTTTATTCAGAAATCTCTGCATCTTGCTCTCAAGCTGATTAGAAGCAGAGAGGTGAATCTCCTTCTGATATTTCAATCACACAAACTTTTCAAAAGGTTGATAATACCAATTTATGATCTGTCCCAGTATAAATCTCAGCCACAGCATTTGCAGTCTGAGCTGTTAAGAAGGAGATTAGGTGGCGATCATTCCTCCAGTACCTGGAAGTGTGGGCTGGACACACACTTCGCCAGCTGCCTGAAGAGAGGCTCCTGCACCTTCACAAACTCTGAGGGCTCGATGACGTCCAAGATCTCCTCCAGCTCATTCAGGAACATCACCTCCTTGGGACTGTGAGTCTTTGGCCAGTACTTTAGAAGAGCCATTACAACCTAACGAGATGAGGAGGAGGGATGGTAACCACAAAGCACGGAGGAAGATGGTGGAAAAGTCATTTTGGATGCTGGTGAGAGTGTCTGTCAAATATGCCAAAGCAGGAATCAACATCCTGTGGTTGTTCGTCACATGCACAGTTTGTGCAACATGCAGTCTAATACAAACATGAATGTTTGAAAAAAAGAAAGAGAGAATTCAAAAGATTTTAAAATAAAAGCCTCAGAATTTCAGGTTTTTCGACCACATACCGGCTCAGTTAGAGTGCTGTCCTTTTCCAAAAACTGCACCACACAGTAAGCCAGCTGTAAAACACAAATACAGCCACTGAACTGGAAAAGCATTTGAATGTACACACAAGTAAACTAACTGAAGCACTGCGGGAGACACAAAAGGCCCGAGAGAAAAACCGGCTGGAACCGGTCTTACTGTTTTTGACAACTTGCGGAATGAATTGAAAAGAGCCAAGTGAACTCAGATGAGGTTTGTACAAAAGAAGAAACAAGACAGAAGAATCCAGTTAAAGACTTGCAGGCTTCATTCAGATAAATTACCTGTGGATGGTAGACACTGAGTGATTTGACTTTGTGCAGAGGCAATAAAACCTTCAACAGGAAAATCTTGTGCTCCTCTTTCAGTGGTAAGGCAAACCCGTTGATTATGCTGTTCAGGGGAAAAACAGAAAGAAACTCTGAAACACAATCGGACATGATTACAGAGCTGCAAAGGGATAAACCCACTGATTTTCAGGTGTTTTGGTGCGATGATGAGTCACACACCATGAAAAAACTCAAGAACAGAAAAATACAACTTTAGCAAAGTTGCGTACCTTCCAAGTATTTCCAGTAATTCAGCTATACCGTTATGGTGCTCCGTCTCATAGATAAACCTGTAACAACAACAACAACACACTCAGTGGAAATGAACCAAATAAATGACCCACGCAGCATATCGACTGCTTCACTTGTTTAACCACGTGTGGGACAGCGGCACTGACCTATAGAAAATGTTATTGATCTGTTTTCTAATGTACGCTCTCAGCCCCAGAAACTTTCCATAGATCCTGTGGAGAGTAGTTTTCAGGAAGTCTCTCTCTCTGGGATCCTCACTGTCAAATAGTTCTAGGAGCTGCAAAGCAAAAAAGGGAAAAAAACAAAATGTTATGACATTAAACCGAGTTACTCCAGTTTTCCCTTTTCCCTGCGTTAACTTGCATCTAAAGGCATATCAGCTGCTAGGGAGCAGTTTAGTGTTCTGTTTGTTCCAATTTTCCCCAATATTTCATTCTTACCTGCATCACAAATTTCTGATCGATGTACTTCTTTGCTATGTTGGGCTGGAAGTCAGATGATTCTAAAAACCTAAGGAAAAATTCATAGACGAGCTGCGAGGGAAACAGAAACGGTGTCATTCAGCTGAGAAAACAAAAAAGTATGGAAGTTCTGGTAATGCATGCTGAACGTTTAAAACACACACCTGTAGGTGGGGCCATGCTGCCTCTAGTGTGGGCTCATCCTCCTCTGGGTCAAACTCTGCTCCGGTAGGGTTGGACGAAGGAGGCAACGTCCTGAACATATTAACAGCAAACTAAAAGAAGAGAAATGAAAAACAATGCATTAGATTTGTTTTCCCCCCAGGGACTATTCAAAGTAAACATTTGTCCGTTGTATCATTTTTTACTGTTGTGCCAGAGACAGAGTGAAAAGCCGCACAACCACTGCCTGCAGATATGTTCAGAAAAACTTAAAAAGCCTGACCTGAAAAAACAACAACAAAAAACATTGTTTTAGGTTCATGTTTACTTTGTCCTTGAAACTGGCCTCCAAGGCTTCGGTCCACAATAATCCGAGTGTCTTGTGTTTCTGTTCTCCTAAAGTGTCAACTGACTTTCCTGTGGGCTGCTGTTCCCTGCCAGGCAGATCATGGGACAGTGCAGGTGGCCTGCTAAAACACTAAGAGCCTTGTTTGAAAAGAAAAGCTACAAGGTAGGTAGACTAATCTCGGCTGTGCTGCACTTCAACGCATTAGGGTCTGAGGGGATGATTGTGCGTTAACTCCACAGTGGAGAGTGGAAATGGAAATGCCACGAGGACAAGGGAGAACCTGGGCTCACGTCTGCCTTCCAGTTTCTGTGCTGCTGCATGCCAACCGACTCCCTCAACGCGTCAGATGTGTCTCTGGCACTTTGGACAGAAAAAGCTTCATGTTGCTTATAAGATCTGAAATAATTCAGTCTTCTTAAGGAAACGAACCAAAATAAAGAAATGAAAAAGTGTCTGAACTTGGTGGGGTGAGGGACTGCGACCCATTATCATTCTCAACTCAGAATGGTTATTTTCTGGCTAAATTCCTAGATTTGTTTGGCTGTTGCATACAAAATAGAAAACAAATAACCAGGAGGAATTAAATAAATAAACCTGAGTTGGTGAAAAATCAAACGGCTGTCCTGTTTCTGTCGATGAAAAACATTTGAGATGGTTTATGCTTACTGTAAATATTCCTAAGAGAAGTCGGAGCAATGTTTCCGGGGACAGTTCTGCTGTAAAACAGTATTTACTGAAGCAAATAGCTTACAGATAAGGGGGTGCAGATGGAACACCACAAACAAAACTAAGAAAAGTGAAGGTGCACCCGGCTCTGCGGTTCACCCACACTCTCAGCCCTGGACCCGACCTGCGTCCCCCTTCTACTGACCATGTGCACCACCTCTGGGTAGATGGGCTCTGTGATGACATTCCTGTTGTGGGTGATGTACTCCACCATTTCGCTCAGGGCCGCCCGCTTCACCTCCTTCCATTTCAGGTCGCTCAGGGGGTCGGACAGGAAGTCGAAAAGAACGCAGCACTGCCGCAGCTTCTGGATGAAGAGCTTCTCCTGTTCGGCGGGGGCCACATCTGAGCACGAACCAGAGGGGGAGAGAAAAAAAAAAGGGAGAGGTGGCTTTAACGTGCCGGCTGAGACAGAGCTGAAGGCGTGAGGAGACAACTGAGAAATTAGACACAAGTTTGAAAGAGCGAATGGGGCAACAGAGAAAAGAAAGTAAATTGGAAATGTCAAAGATGATAGTTAAAAGGGAAAGAAATATGAAAGTGAAAGAAACGCAAATGTGACAGGAGCTGAGAGGGTTGGAGCAAAAGGGGGAGGATGAAAGAGGGTGCACGAGAAGACGGGGAGGACGAGGGAAGTAGATGAACAGTTGCCGCGTAGGCCTTTCTGTGGGCGCACAAAGCGTTTAGTTCTGAGGGAAGCCCGGCTGACCAGGTGCCGCCCACTGTGGTCTGAGGACACCCTGCTCTGCTTTCATCTCCACCTGAACACTGGCGACCACACGCCTAAAAGCAAACGAGCCCCGGCGGAGAGGGGAAAAACAACAGCGCCATTCAGGGAGCTCCAAGTGTGGACCAGTCCCAGTGGCACAGGTAATAACACACGGTGACACCGTAATTATGCAGTTATGTCACTTAGCGTTGATGCAACTCTGTTTTCTGATACGTGGGGCCACAATTTACCACACAGGTGTGTGCTGAAAAACAGAACTGGATGGCCCTGGCGCTCGCCTTCCTCTCGCCGTGCTGAGCACCTCTTTCTCATGAAGAGGCATCGTTTCTGGAGATAACCAAGACCAATAAACGGAACCAGCTTCGATCAGGCAGTGTGTCCGCCACGCCCCCTAAATGACGGGGCTGAGCAGGGTGCCACAAACAGCGCCCCAACACCACCTCCAGGTTGCTTCTGGTCAAAAAGGAGCCGCTATTCTGGGTCAACTAAAAGCAAAGAAGTAAAAACATAGTTCAACCAAACTCAGGTGGGTGGGGGCTGAAACACGGGACAGTAATGAGGGGTCTGTCAGAATCAGCCAATCAGTAGTGTCACTGCTGGTTAGGTTTGCTGGGTGTCTGATGGGAGCACTGGGCAAGTTATTGCTGCCTACACACACACACACACACACACACAAAGACCAGGGCTGCTCATGGCAGCTGTACAGCGAGGATTTGTTGAATTCTTTCAAACGGAGTCACCTCTTGTGAACAGATTGACAATTAAAATCAATACTGCTCTTTAAATACACCATTTGAAAAAGGTTTCCACAAGAAAAAAAGATTGCTTATCCCCCCGGTGTTTCATGTAGCACACAGCAGCACCTCAGGACGGGTGCTGAGGCTGGGACACAGTATGCTCATGATGGATGCTGATGACGTGCATGAACTCAACTTTATCAGATATCTGATAAAGGGAGGGGAAAGAGTCCCACTCCTCTTGATTTGCTGTATTGCAACCTGTGGACTGAAGGAACATAATTACAGAGATACGCTAATTTGGTAGTGACACAAATGAGGATTTATGAACGTGACTCATTGAGGTAGAGGTATAAATAAGTAACTGATGTGAGAATGACAGAACAGCAGAGACACTTTTCCAAGGCTGACATTCTCAAGTAGCTCCAAAATAAAAATAATAAAAATACCATCTTTCTCTTGGAGTAATGCTGTAGAATTTCTATTCATTGCCAAATTAAAATGAGCTTGAAATACTAAACCATGGAGCTGAGTCACTCTTAAGACAACTAAGGATAAAAACTGATAGTCACTAAGGATTCAGACAGGTAGTTGAGGCTTTTTTTTACTCGTGCATGTGCACAGAGCGTCAAAGCCTAATGTACAGAACAGAGGGCCAGCTAATCTGTGCGTGCGCACTCACAGACCTGGTGCACAGCATTCCTGCAAACAGGCAGATTCCTGGCAAGGGGAGAGATCACCTATTCGGGCCCGAAGGAGATTTGGCTCAGGCACACGTGCACTCCTGCAGTGTCAGTATCAAGTTAGCCAATTTATCTTGATGACAGTCAGAGGCTGTGAATTCCATAGGACGGGGGGGGGGGGAAATGAGTGTGAGTGGCCATTATCAGCCACGTCTAGCAAAATTAGACATCCAAGAGGGCGGCCGCCGGTGAGACGGCACTTTGTTTCAGTTGGTTATCTGCAGGGAAACAAAGAAGGGCTTTGCCATGTGCGGTCCCCAAAATGAGGCTAAATCAGGGTGAGTGGAATCCTCTTTTTAACTGCACACGGTGGATGGCCGTGTGCAGTTTCCAGGCTGCAGTGGGACATGAGGCTGGGCTGGAACGTGGTGCCGTGCCTTCCACCTCTGACCGTGTCAGCCTTAAGTAGGTCTCATTACATAAGTCTGTTTCTGTGTGTGATAAAGGTTTGTCACGCTCATAAAATACCTAGTGGGTCGTTGTGCAACAGATAAAGGCCCAGTGTTGTGAATCCAAAATTGATGTGTGCCACAATGTGACTCCTATAATGCAGCCGATTCAAGGCTGGGGCGGGAAGCAGGCATGCGCAGACACAACTGTCTCCTGGAGAACAGAGAGATATCTATCTTAATCTTAACTGCCCCTCTGCCTCCTGTTCACATTAAAGTTAATAAATAAGTGGAGTCATACTCAAATCATTTTTTTTGTTGCTATTCTCTGTAAGTGGCTCAAGTTAACATCAGCTAATCTGGAGCAGAGATGGCTTTGGTAACATGTTGTATGGACACCATGTCCATGATCACTGACCATTAACTATTTATAACCATGCAAAGAGACAATGCATGGCACCAACTTCTGTGGTCACACTGATGGGCAGAGTTTGCTATGAATGCACTGGAAGTTAGATTTTTTTTTTTTTTAAACATCAGAGAACATATTCTGGATTGAGGCCAACGTTTTGTTTGCAAAAAGGCAGCCATCATTGCCAAACCTGAGACACACTCAAACGGGAATTTAAAACTTCCACAGAGCTCGGTTTTTAAAACTAGGTTTCTAAGAATCAAGACAGATGGGGGGAGAGAAGGTTTAGGAAATAAGCCTGCTGTTGAAATAAACCTTTTAAAGAAGTCAAATTAAGCTAACGTCTCATTGCATGGGATGCAGCGAGACGTGTGAAGCCATACGCGCTTCTGATGAGGCTCATGTTTGCAAAGCCGGGTTCATTTGGCTAAACAAAACCCGCGCGGATGCTCGTTTTCGTGCACTCTTTGCATAGTCACTCGCACACACAGCTGTACATTATGATAGGGGCTATAGAGCTCAGTCTGGTTGAACTGGATTCATTTAGTGTGGGTCGGGATACGAGGCAACGTGCTGAGACAGAGGCACACAAAGAGGGAGGCAGAGAGAGAATAATTGTTCCCAAACACTGGGCTGTCATTCAAGGCAGTTGCCTCCATGGCTCAATAGAGTGTAATCAATAATTGCCTTGGGCTTCATCTAATGCCAGCCTGCACCCATGTTACAGTAGGAACAGGCCGGGCCTTTCAGACATCACTGAGTACATTGTGCACGCTCCGAGGCAGAGGCAGACGGATGCTGTGGCCCTAAAAACGGCGCGGACAAAGACGGCCGGGGTCATATTTACAGCAGTGCCAGAGGCCCTCTGACTTCTTTAGGTTTCTTGTTTGGAGAAAAACATCTAAAAGGGTGCCTCAGCCTGACAGACAGGCGAGGAGGGGGGTAAGGGGGATGTGGCGGGCTGGAGGAAAAGGGGATGCTGGTTCTGTTGAGAGGTGGCTGCCGTATTGCCTACACACTATGACCAATTTGTGCCCAGATGAACTGGAGTGTGACAAAAATGCTGGGCTGAGGAGAACCGCGAAAGAGGGGGAATGGAAAAAACGTGGGGTGGTGGGGGGGGGATTCTGCAAAGCTTTCCATAATAAGACACAACTGTCAAACTGCACAAAAACACACAACACTAACGTTAGTGTCAATTAAAAAAGGGAAAAACCAAGGAAAAGAGACCCTTCCCTCGGCTATGACCTCACTTCCTTTGACATCACTAGCTCAGCGGGGGGAAGGGCAGGGAGCTGCTAGCTAGTAAAAACTACATTTTTATGGAGCTTCTGTGCCCCACAGCTGTGCACGAAGGCATCCCAAACACACGTATCTCAATTTCCTTTCAAACACGATAGCGGTGTTGTCCAAAACAGACAGGCGGCGGTCCTATCTCAGACGGCTGAATGCTGACTAACCAGTGGAGGGGGACAGGAGCACAGCAACACATAGCTCACTTTGCTCTCAATTCCTAGGACACTACAGGAAGGAATCGTTTGTCTTTACGTACCTCTGAAGTGCATTAGAGCCACCGGCTGAAAGGGCCCGTTGGAATTGGGTGCATCCACAACCATCCTGTCTCCGGCTTTATTGCATGTCAACATCTAAAACTCAACCAGGAAGGCGATCCACTCAGGGCGAGAGGCCAGCCTCCATTTTAGCACAAAAGCAGATCAGAAAATGAAGCTCCCTGCCGCTGGAGGGAACTGGCTAGTTAGTGATGTAAGCAACTGGGGAGCCGGGTGATTGGCTGAGCTCACTGTGGTACGGACCAATAGAGACGAAGGCTGCTGTGAGAAAGGCAGAGTGATTGGATAAGATTATGAAAAGGGGGGCGGGCCATTCACTAGAAATTTTCGGTCCTTCCACTCATAGGTCTCTGGTGGCGCTGTGCCTTAAATCAAGCCCCGCAACGGATTTTGGATTAGACTAGTCTTTTTTCACAGTTTTGCCATCAGTTTGGGTCTCAACATAATCTGATTTAGGATGTGCGGCTGCATATAAGTTACTGAGCGTGCTCAGGGAGAGTGAGGCCCAGGCGGAATCTCTTTCAATGAAGACTTTCATTGTCATCTTAATCAAAGGGAGGTTAAAAGAGGCTCAGAGGTGGCCTCAAATCTTTGGATTAAACGACTGACAGAAACAAGAAGAAACCACAAGAGGATAGGACTACTGGGGGCTTTAACTCCAGTGGCCTTCAGTAATAAGAGCCACTTAAATTCAGGAAAAACGGTGCTGGGAATATTCTCTGCACAGGACAAAATTCCATATGTAAAACATGATTATTTGATCCAGTTTTGAATGAAACAGCCTGTCTTAAAGATATCTGATTGGTCAAACAGATGAATAATGCATCTCATAAGTCATTTTGAAATGTCTACATTATGCCATTACTGACGGATAAAGTGATAAACTCAATAGTGATCAGTTACAGTATTCGCGGAAGGTTTTCAGCATATGTAATGCCTGAAGATGCTGAGTGACTAATCTGCATTTCATTGCAACATAATGAAGTAGCTGTCCTTCTTTTCATGTGATTCATCAGGGAACACACAGTTAAGCCTGCATTTACACCACAAGGCAGACCAGAATGTTCACAAAAGCAAGGCTCACAAAACAGTCTTCAGTCATTCAGATAGAAAGAAGCTGTTTAAACAAGCTGTTTAGACAGATAGATAGATAGATAGATAGATAGATAGATAGATAGATAGATAGA